GTACTTACCAAGGGAGCAGAAACGTGGAGGCTTAAAAAAAAGGGCTCAGCGTAAATTAAGGACGACACGGCGAGCGATGGAAAAGAAAATGATAGGTGTAACCTCAAGAGACAAGAAGAGAGCAGAGTGGGTCAGGGAACAAATCGGGGCTAAGGATATCATAGGTGAGATCAAGAAGAAATGGACATGGGCCGGGCAGTAGAACATATATAGGCAGTATATAACCACTGGTCATTAAGGGAAACTGACTGCATTCCCAGAGAAGGCAAACGCACGAAGGGGAGGCAGAAAGTTAGGTGAGCCGATGAGATTAAAAAGCTCGCAGGTGTAACGTGGCAACAGAAAGCAAAACACCGGGTTGATTGGTGGATTATGGGAGAGGCTTTTGCCCCGCAGTGGGCGTCAGGCTAATGATATTATGATGCTTCAGACATTGATTATATATATATATTCAAACCTCAATATATCGAACACGGATATATCGAATTATTGCCTATATCGAACGGTTCCTATATCACGCGGGAAATCGCAGGCATTATTGATTTTTTATTTCGAACAAAGTTTGACATATAATGGATATATCGAACTCAGCCACCCCAAACCGCCCGCGCTCCATTGACAGGCGGCGAGCTTTCCCGCAACTCTCGAAAGTAGCGGTAGAGCGGCGGGCGTTAACGAATGCTGCACACATCGATGGCGCCGAGAGCGCCACTTTAACGTAGCAGCGTACGCGCGCCGCAGCCTTGCGGTAGAGGTTCTTGAATGAGGAAAGTGAAGAGAAAAGCGCCCAGCTGTTATTGTCCTCCAATACGAAGGCACCGACACGGCTTCGCGCGGGGGAAGATTGAGTGGGAGGTAAAGATTGAGGAGGAACGTATAGGAGAGAAAGGACGCAGACGACTGTCTCGGACGCGGCTCGCGCTGCCGCCGGGAAAGGGAAAGCAGTCAGGCGAGCCAGCATGGGCGCGCCATGTGCGCGCTTTACACCCGGACTCACGCCGCAGCCTTGCAGCTTGCAGTCGTTGCAGTCTCTATGGTGTCAACGGCACACTGCGCACTTGTTGCAAGCTCCTCCCCTGTAGCATCGGCAGGCATCGGTCGTTGTGCTCGCAGTGTTCGTGCATTTGGAGTTAGGCCTGTCGCACGCTGTGTTCGTGCGTTCGGAGTTAGGCCTGTCGCGCACCACAGTGCGCGACAGGCCTAACTCCGAACGGCGGAGCTTACGGCGGAGCTCACGGATGTGGAGATTGTCGCCGAAGCTACTGCTAAGCAGCCAAATGAAGACTCTGCCGAGGTGGATCCCGCAAGCGCTGATGGTGCCCCACTCCTGACATCAGCTGAGGTCGTAGCTGCCTTGGCCCTTGTGCGCCACCACTGCGGCGCGATTGAAGGCATCGGCCTATCACTTATGGATCGCCTGGACTATATTGAGGACGCAGTCGTCAAACACGTCATGGCCAACAAAAAGCAGGCTACTCTTTTTCAATATTTTAAATCAACACAATAAATACTATGTCTGAATCTTCAAGTGAGTATTTACTGTACCACGCTTGGTGCAACCACGCTTGGTTGTTTTCAGCAAGCTGTTGACGCATTTTTTCCGTGATTTTTCTATATCGAATTCTGGATATATCGAACTATTTCGCGATTGCCGCACCGTTCGATATATCGAGGTTCGACTGTGTGTGTGTGTGTGTGTGTGTGTGTGTGTGTGTGTGTGTGTGTGTGTGTGTGTGTGTGTGTGTGTGTGTGTGTGTGTGTGTGTGTGTGTGTGTGTGTGTGTGTGTGTGTGTGTGTGTGTGTGTGTGTGTGTGTGTGTGTGTGTGTGTGTGTGTGTGTGTGTGTGTGTGTGTGTGTGTGTGTGTGTGTGTGTGTGTGTGTGTGTGTGTGTGTGTGTGTGTGTGTGTGTGTGTGTGTGTGTGTGTGTGTGTGTGTGTGTGTGTGTGTGTGTGTGTGTGTGTGTGTGTGTGTGTGTGTGTGTGTGTGTGTGTGTGTGTGTGTGTGTGTGTGTGTGTGTGTGTGTGTGTGTGTGTGTGTGTGTGTGTGTGTGTGTGTGTGTGTGTGTGTGTGTGTGTGTGTGTGTGTGTGTGTGTGTGTGTGTGTGTGTGTGTGTGTGTGTGTGTGTGTGTGTGTGTGTGTGTGTGTGTGTGTGTGTGTGTGTGTGTGTGTAATAACGACAGGAGCATCCTTTTTAAATTTTCTATGTGCATCATTCAAAAAAAGAAAAGCATCTGCTGTGGCAGCCACTTTTTGGGAGATTGGAGACAGTATTCCTACGATGGGAGATTAGGTCGAAGTTCGAGAGTCTCGCGTACATTTCAGGAGAGTCGGCAGGTAAGATGCAATCACTAGCGGTGACGTCACGAAGTTTGGGGCGAGGCTTTCAAGGTTTAAAGTGATGTTGTCACTGGCACTTTCTTATTACCAAGCGTCTGATTGCGGTATGCATGGTGATTTTGGTTTGTTCAAGAGTAGTTGGCTAATATGAGAAAAATGGTTCTTTTTAGTGCAATGCCATTATTTTAAAGATGTGTCCATTGGTATCAAAGCTAAAAAAAAATTGATCTCACTGTTTCCCGAAACAATGGAGCAAGGACTATTCATCAATGTCTTGCTTTAGGCATATAGCTGGACATTAGGAAACAGACCTCGTAGTGATAGGGATACTCTTTAGGAGCAAAGCTCCTTAGGCCCACACCCCACAAATCTTCTGCAACATCCACAATGCTCGCTTTTCTTGCAGAAAGTGACATAGGGCCTTCGCCTGCGATGCACAGTGTCAATTGAAAACACGCGAGTGCATAGCCTGTGCGCTTTGGTGGCTACTTGCAATGCGTTCAAGTGGGAGCGAGAGTAACCACAGCCTCTTCTCATGTCATCTGGTGACGAGCAAAACAACCAGGGAGTCGCCGCCTGTTCCTTATCACCAATGACTGGTTGTTTTGTTCGCAAAGAGGTAACACAAAAAGAGGGTGTGGTTAATCTCGCTCCAGCTAGAATGCGCTGCCAGCAGCTACCAGAGTGCACAGGCCACGTTTCCCTTCATAAAAATTGAAATTGTACATACTAGTGGCAATGCAGTGGGACGCTGCCAACTCGGACGAGCACTTACACTAACTTTAAAAGCAATTTACAATGTCTCAAAGACAACGTTCATCAATAATAATCAGCCAAGAATGCACTTATACAGTACAATCAAACAATGCAAACATATCGAGGTATTGATATTCGTGTCAGAAGCCTTTTCGAATGTCCTCTAGGAGGTAACGACACACTCGGCCCCCCAGAGTGAATATTAAGTAGCTTGCATCATGATCTCAAATAATTATCCAATTCAATACAAAAAATATCTATACCAGTGCCACATGATGGCAAGCTATATGTCCTGTGTATGATGATGCTAATAAAGTTTTTATCATTAAATTCAGACCAATCTTGATATTGTTAAACGACGACAGCAATGAGAGAGCATCAGGTAGATGACGAAGACGAATACAATTGCGTTCAAGTTTTTGTTGCGGTTGTACCTCCATCTTGGCTGCAGCTGCCTCTGACTCTCCCTGTATATTTTGTAAATATATTTAAATTATTCATTCTCTCACATTTGTGACAATATGATCAATATCTTAGCAGATTATGCTTACGCACAGCAGAGACAACGCATGAAAATTCGGGAGACCACAACAGACAGGAGAGAGAGGTGCAAATCCAAAATTACTGCGACCAGCTGTCATTGCTTCCATCCACTGCATGCGACTGCGAAAGCACAGCGTTTCAGAGCAGCATCTGCAGCTATTTTTCCAACAATGGCAGGTGTTAGTACGTCCGCACCCGTACCGCTTTGCGTCCTGGCGCTTCGAGAACATTTTCCGAAACAATGATCCTGCGTGATCACCAACGCTTGGCGGCAAGTTGTGTTCCACAAGAAACCCCATAAATCGCACTGCCTAGGCAGCACCTCTGAAAGAAACTTCTGATATTGCCCTGTCCTTCAACAACATGAACGTAGTTCACATGCTTCAGTGAAGCAATGTGCATTTTAAGGCGGCCTTGCCGCCGTTTGAAATGCTTACATCACAGGCGCGCGTGGTACAGATTGAGTACTTCTCACCTTTCCGTGAAGTCATGAAGCACAGAAACCCAGCTGGGTATACGTCCATAAACACTTGCAAGTACTTCTTTGCTCTTGACACCACCACAAACCTTCATTGATTTTATTGATACTTGGGGTTTTACGTCCGAAAACCTCCACATGATTATGAGAGACGCCGTAGTGGAGGGCTTCAGAAATTACGACCACCTGGGGTTCTTCAACGTGCACCCAAACCGGAGCACACGAGCCTACAGCATTTTGACCTCCATCGAAAACGCAGCTGCCTCAGCAGCCGGGATTCGATCTAACAACCTGCGGGTCAGCAGCCAGAACCTTACCCACTAGACCACCGTGGCAGGGCCGCCACCAACTTTCCAACTAAACTCCGAAAGAACACAACCCCCCCAACTATTTAACACTACTGGTACCTAGAGCGGCGATGTATCTATGGGCCTAGTGTACAAAATGTGGGGGCCAAAACAGGTACAAAAGTTGTGGTACCTTTCCCTCACTTTTTTTTTTGGTATGGTGGCCAGCGTGTCCCATGTCTGCTGGCTTTCGCCCAGATGAGCAGTATGGTTATAGTGACCTAAAAGTGAAGCAGCGAGTGCTTTTCCAAAGCACCAAACTGTCACAGCAGAAAGGGCCGACATTCCCGCGAGTAAACAAAAAAAAAAAACGCTTCTGCTGTGTGGCGGCCACTTTTCGGGAGACTCGACATAGCATTCCTACAAAAGGGAGATTAAGTCAAAATTTGGAAGACAATTTCTAAGAGTTGGGAGGTTTGCAAGGCTGCACAGAACGAAAACTCAGATGCTGGCCCCAAAGTTTCAGACTACTTTGGCTGCACCCCTAGCTTACACAATACAGCACACAACAGCTAAGACATAAAAGTCCAAAACAGCACCTTTGAGTTCCTCCTCTTTTTTCCGCGCTTGCTCCTCGCGCTGCTTGCGGATGAGGGCGAGGCGCGCAAGGTCGGCCCGGGCCTCTTCAGTCTTGCCCGCTGCATGCATCTTCTGGTAGTGCTGCTTGGCACGCTGCTTCTCCAGTTCCTCCCTGCGCCAACAGCACGAGAAAGAATTAGCTGTTTCGCATACAGAAAAAGCTAAGACATTAATGTACACAAACAGTTGGAAGCACAGTGGACTCATCAAATAAAACCTGAAGGCAGCAGGAAACATGGTACAGCTTAACAGTAATTCTGATGAACGAGAGATGAATGGGGGTGCAGAATTCGAAGTATAAAAACAATCACATTTGAGGCAGTCATTCCACATGAGCAGCAAATACATTCAAGAGATTTCTACATTACACCGAGAGTTTACTGTGCCAATTTTCCTTCAAACTCTTGTTGCTTAAAGTTGTAGCTATGATATCTGGGGTTATCCATGTCAAAACCACAATGTGATAGTGATGCACATTGTAGTGGTGATCCTTCACGTGCTTCTCATGGCGTATTTGGTTGGGCGTTTTCGAGCGATCTGAAAAGTGGCTGAGCCTTCGGTTGGGAGTATTTGAGCGCTCGGACTACCTTCGGTTGGCTCGTTTAGAGCATTGGCCTCTGACTCGGAGCGTTGCCGATCGCTCTGACTTCGAAGTGGGAGCGTGGCACGATCTGACCGAGAGGACGGATCACGTGACACAAGCCAGCCAATCACGTGGCTTCCAGCAGGTGAACGAGGTCACAAAACACCCGATGAGGTGAGGTGAGGAGCGCGAGCGTGCATTTTGGATGAGGGCATCGCCAGGCACGTAATAGTTCTTGCCCGTGCATTGTTAATGGTGTTTTTGCATACGTGTGGGGCTAATTCCCATCTACGAAGTCATAAATGCACCATGTCAATAACGAGGTGGCTAGCGAAGGCGAAGGAAACGTCAGTGCTGTCGTTACAGCAGCTCACAGACAGCCTGCCTAGAAGATAGCAGTTCGGACGAGGACGATCGCCAAATTTATATGCACAGCTCAGAAGGCTTTCGCTGTGCCCAGACATGTCAGAGAGAGAGAGAGGGAAAGAGTATAAGAAAGGTCAAACATGTCAGTGATATCCACTGAACTTATCGGCACCATTTGTTGACTTGGCGCAGCAATGTTTACCCGGCAGCTTCCCGCACTGGTTGCACGGTGGTGCTTCGGGCCAACAAGTTTGCGACAAAAAGAGCTCGCGACATGATAATGCACAATATGCTGCAACCATGACCGTCCGTAGGAAAAAGACCCCATGAATTTGGGCGAGGCGTAACAGTGTGCATATGGGTCCATCGTGTTAGCGACCCTTTGAAGGCGTGCGCGCAATGCAGGGAACACATTGGAATGATTCGTATAAGCACGGGCCGGCATAGCAGCCGCGGTTTGCCAACAAGCATGCAGCTGATGGAGTCGATGGTGGGACGGAGTCGCAGAACCGGAAGTAGACTGTGTTTCTAGCAGCTTGTCAGCGATCAGAAGGGGCATGAGAGGAGCGCTCGGCAAGAGGGCAAAGCGCCTTCGGAAGAGGATATCATAAAGGGTAGCACATAATCGCCATGGTTGCAATAATTAATCACGTCTGACTCCGCTATTAGAGCACAGTTTCGAAAAATTTTCACGGCACGGTGTTCCTCCTACACTTGTACAGAATTTTCCCACCACAACTGAATTTCGACCTATGGGTGGTTTAGGAGCCCTTTATATGCACTAGCAGTTAAAACGTAGTTGCGACGGATCCCCGACTAAGTCTTATAGAAACTGATCCATTCAAGAACCGCTTAAGCTGTAGTGGTTCGTCTTATGCCAACCAGTTGGTGGGTACCAAGTGTGTACAGCAATAAAAATTTGTGGCATAAAAGTTTACAGCGCAGCTGAACTTGCACATACCACAATGCACAACAAATGATTTTTTGTCTTTTTGATATAAGCCGAGATCAGCCAATCAACTATTCTGACTTTTGCCCGATTGCGGCAGTAGTCGTAGGGGGGAAAACGAGGGGGAGGTGGTGACCAGTGACAAACAAGCCAGTGTGACTTATCACCGACAAAGTAATTTATCATTGTAAGACTCTCCAGCTATCTGCTCGGACACGCATGGCGTAGCGCCACTTTAACCCTACTGCATGCTTTTAATAGGCGACTACCTGAACACGCACAGAGCTATTCGATCATATGAGTAGCGACACTACCCATTGGCTCCATGTATCAAAATTCAAACACGGCATGGGCCGAAATAGCGGGAGTGAAAAGATTGTCGCACCATCTCTTGACCACAAATTTAATTAAAAAACACACTATTCTGTGTTTTTGCGTTTAGCAGGATTGTGAGCGTCACAGCATTCTGCCAAACAGCACGGCAGCGCCTAGAACTTGTTCTTGGGTGAGCTGTGCCTAAGTGTATGGAACATGTTACTTTGACGCAGTGGTGGAGACGTGATAAAAGACAGAGGAGCTGCTCTTTCTCTTGATGCTCTGTTCTTTTTCATGTTTTCCGCATTACGCTAGAAGTGACGTGGCTATAAGCGGCGTGTTCGTGAGGTGAACATGCTTTTTGTTATATTTCCATTGCATAGCATCCGTCGCCGCTCAATTTCATTAACCACACAGTGTAGTGGATAATGCAGTGATGTCGGTAGTTTACCAGATTCATGTGGAGAGCCCACGATGTTTACATTTCGGCAAAATAGTGACCGGTAAGACATGAAGCAAGCGGCATGCAGCGCCGATCCAGGTTGATCGAAACTGTAAGACTGTCAATGGCAGCAGACGGTGCTGTCCGAGCAGTTAACGCTGGTGCCATTCGAAAGAATCCACAAGCATCGCACCTGAAAACAAAAAAGCACTTGCAGTGCTAGTTGCCAGGAAATAGGAATATTCAATGTTCCCACTTTCTTGTCATCGTGCTTTCATGATTATATGGTATTCCATCCTGTCTCCCACTGGTTTTGCGATTAGTGGAATTCGACCGCTGCGTGCAGCAAGACAAAGCGGCCAATTCATGGTAAGTACTGATCGGTACTGTTGTGCTTTGATTTGCACTCTACCGTATCAGTATCTTGTTTATGCGACCATCAATCACGCTGTGTTTGTGAGACACATCCTGCGAGCAATCGGTCTCAAGCGTGTATTTTCAAACGAGCAAACGAGCAAACAAGGAGTAACAGAAAAAATCAGGGTGCAGCGTTAAAATCATCGTAGCACGAACTTGCAAGCACCACCTTCGACAAAATGAAACTGGACGCTCTAACACAGCTTCTATTACGTCTTTGCAAAGTGATAACAGCCGACAGGTGCGGCGGGCACCACGCAAGCAGGGGTAGCCAGGGCCATTGAGGGGACGATGCCAGTGTTGCGTGCAACGTCGAGCAGCCTTAAGGAAGTGCACGCACAGGTGGCGATGCAGTTTTGTATTGTTGCTCCCAGATGGCGCAACAATCTGCTCACTCCCGCAAGGTCGGCCAATTGCGTGTCCATGTTTCGGAACAGAGTTTCGCAACTCATGATTCAATAACTCTGGTTCACCCATGCAGTGCTTCACAGATACGCAAGCAGCTCGCTGCTGTGGAGTTGAGTGTTGAGAGTAAGCATACTGCGCGCTTATTTTAAGTGACAGCCCAAAAACGCCTCTGTCCGCTGCCAGGACTTGCAAAAAGCTCGTCATCGTTGCATTAACCCAGCAAGCTACTAACCGCATCTGTGCAGCACAGCACAGCAAGGGCTTCATTTCCGGGCCTGCTTTATGAAACCGGAGCCCAGCTTGGGCCCATGGCTCCAAGCCCGGATCTGGCCAGGGCCTGGCCGTAATCTGGCCAGGGCCTGGCCGTACATGACCAACCCAGTCCGAAGCCCGTGTTTCCAAGCTGCAGCCTGACCCGTGCCCAGGCGTTCACTACTGAACCCATCCAGGGTACACGTATTCATTACCAGGCTCAGACAGGGCTGCTAGAGGTTATTAGTTGTTGATGACCATTATTAGTGATGCTCTGTGCTTTGTAGTGCATGATTAGACAGAAAATCCAATGTCTACACACATATAAATGCTGCTTTGGTTGCGTGGGTAGCTCAGCAGTGAAGCTGTTTTGCTGTTAACTCCTGGGACACGGGTGCGATTTTGGCGGCAGCGTATCAATAGGGCGAAACATGGAGGAAAGAAAGTCTTCAGTTTTGAATATTACATCAATACAAGGGGCAGCGTTACTACTTTGTCCTGCTCAAGCTTTTCGCTGGCGTCCTTTAAGGGCTCCACGAATTTGTCGACCTCCGTAAACATGGCCATATCGACGTCTTCCAAAAGCAGATTTCCTCTTGAGTGCAGGAGATTCTTTATCGCATTGTACTGAGTTAGCACATACTTGATCATAACAAGTTTTGAATGCCTCCGACTCTTACCAGGTGCCCCTCCAGTTCGGCACAGAATGCCTTAGACCATGCAGTGCATAATGTTCACGTGAGCTTGAAGGCCCAACTTTGGACTTTAAATGAAGGGCTTGACTTCGGACCAGCCCAGTCTCAAGCCTGGCCCAGGCCCGCAGCCTCAAGCCCAGCCCAGGCCCATAGCATCAAGCTTCACGCAAAGCAGAGTCATGAACTTTCAAGCCCGAGCTTGGCCAGGGTCCACCAGAGAGTTCTTCGGACAACCCGGCCTGCGGGCCAGGCCAGGCCCATGTAGTGCTCTACTGTACAAAGTCGGAAGCGTAGTGGGTGCATTCTACAATAAGCGGGTAGATATTCACAGTCTTCGTTGAGTAGGCAAAGCGCTGCACGCAACTAGCCCGCAGACGATTTTGTTCTCTAGGGCAGTACCGTGTTTCAATAAACCTGTGTCACTTTTCACTTAGTAGTGGAGTGCAGAACGTATGTATCGTGGAACTGCCAATTATTTCCGTTATGTCACTAGACCACATTACATATCCCAGACGCCACTGTAGTTTCGAAATGCTCCTTGGCGTCGCCATCGCGTGCTATTGGGCGGTTATGCGAGAGCACAACCGGTAGATTAATCTTTTCTGTGGCATAAAATTTATTCATGTGTTTATGTTTGCAGCGATGGCACTCGTCAGGAGATTCAAATTCGTAGGTGGTGGTTAAT